TTCGCAATCCCTATCTTCTCTAGTACGAAACTCCCTCATTAGAAAAGAGACCGATACCATGATAGATCATTTAGGGGCCACGGGGAAGGGAGCATATCCTAGAAGATCAACAACCTGTTACAAATGTAGAGATAGGTATTTTCCAGGGCACCGATGCTCCAACAAAGCAATCGTGGCAGTGGAGGAGATCACGCCAGAAAATACTCTGGAGAACAAAGTCTTGGAGGAAACTCAAGAGGTTGGCGATGACCTTACTGGCACTTTGCCCCTACAAGCAATAGAAGGGGTCACCACAAAGGGCACCCTGAAAATATGAAGAAAATTGTCATGTCATGATGTGTTGGTCTTACTGGATGGTGGAAACTCACATTCCTTCCTAGACGAAGGAGCTTCTAAATGGATCAAGAATCAGGTGGTCAGCAGTAAACCCCTAACAGTTATGGTCGCCAACGGACAAAAGATATCTACTCACCTTAAATGCTCAGATGTGACGTGGACCATGCAAGGCTACAAGTTCACATACAATTTCCGCATCATGTCACTAGAAGTGTATGACATGATATTAGGGGTAGACTGGATGAAGCAATTCGGCCCAATGATATTTGACTTCCTCCATGCAATGGTATGATTCAATTATAAAAATTTACAAATATCATTGCAGGGTTGTGACTTTTGCGAAGCATCCGAAGCAAGAGAAATAAAAGTGAAATAGTGGGCTAAGCATAAGCAAACAGTTGAAGGTGGAACAATATTTCTAATCATGGAAGTTTCAAAGAAGGTACCTACTTCTGAAATGTCCAACCTTGCACTAGGAACACTACTTAAACAATATCAGGATGTCTTTCAAGAACCCCATGGTTTGCCACCGACCAGAACCTTCGATCATGTCATCACCTTGTCCAAACATGATGTTGCTGTGAATATTCGACCCTACAGGTATTCATTCAATCAGAAAAATGAAATAGAAAAGCATATACAACAAATGCTGAATAACTCATTAATACACCCCAGCTGTAGCCCCTTCTCTTCGCCGGTATTGCTAGTTAAAAAGAAAGATGGTACGTGTAGGTTTTGCGTGGACTATAGAGAACTAAACTCTCTGATCGTAAAAGATAAGTTTCTCATATTCATCATTGATGATCTTATTGATGAATTATATGAAGCACATATCTTCTCTAAAATTGATCTTAGAGCAGGATATCATCATATCAGGGTCAATGACGAAGACATCCACAAGACAGTTTTTAGAACACACCAAGGTCATTTTGAATTCAGGGTGATGCCTTTCGGCTTGACCAATGCCCCCCCACCTTCCAAGCTCTCATGAATAACATATTCAAGGCTTTTCTCCGAAGGTTTGTACTGGTCTTCTTTGATGACATTTTAATTTATAGTACCACTGAGCAGGAGCACCTTATCCATCTAAACGAAGTTCTAAAAATACTTCGAGATAATCGGTTATATGCAACGCAATCCAAGTGTTGTTTCTTTCAGACAGATGTGGAGTATCTAGGGCATATCATCTTTGGCCGAGAGGTAAAAACAGACCCGCGAAAAATTGAAGTTATGGTCAACTGGCCCACTCCTCAGACGATTAAGGCTCTTAGAGGTTTTTTGGGCTTAACAGGATACTACGCAAGTTTATGCAAAATTACAAAATCATAGCCCAACCTCTCATCAAATTATTGAAAAAGGAGTCCTTTGAATGAAATCCAGAGCAAGCTTTTCAATCGTTAAAGACAGCCATAACTTCAAGCCCGATCCTACGACTGCCCCAATTCGAAGATCCCTTTACTATTGAGACAGATGCAAGTAACAAGGGAATTAGAACAGTTCTAATGCAAGAAAACCAACCTATAGCCTTCATAAGCAAGGATCTCAATCTCAGAAATCAGACAAAGTTAGTCTACAAGAAAATGGTAATGGTCGTTCTCTATGCCGTAGGACAATGACGACACTATTTAGAAGGAACCTCATACGTCATTAGAACATATCAATATAGTTTAAAATACTTGTTGGATCAAAGAGTTTCCTCCATGGTATAACAAAAGGGTATCTTGAAGCTATTAGGCCTTAATTACACAATCCAATACAAACATGGGTCATCCAACAACGTAGCAGATGCTCTTTCAAGGAGGGACGCCCCTGATTCTGAAGCGGAGATCTTATAAACATTCTCCACATCCATGCCTGTCTGGATGGTGGAAATAAGCAACAGTTACTTTAAAGATCCATTCACCCAACAATTGCTATATGAACTCATGGTTTCTCCTAACAGCATACCATCCTTTTTCCTACAACAGGGGATGTTGAAATACAAAGGGAGGTTGGTCATAAGCGATAAAAGGGAACTTCGCAACCAACTTCTTTACCAGTACCATAATTCAGCAGTAGGGGGTCACTCTGGAGTTCGAGCTACCTATGAAAGGGCCAAACAACACTTCTGTTGGCCTAATATGAAGAGACAAATTTTACAGTGGGTCCAACAGTGCGATATACGTCAACGCTATAAAACAGAACGAGTTCCCACTCTCGGATTACTGCAACCACTCCTTGTTCCACCACACCTGAACTCACATATCCATGGACTTCATTGAACAATTATCCAAGTCAGAAGGCAAGGACGCTGTATTAGTGGTAGTGGACCGTTTCACCACATACGGGCATTTTATTCCCTTACGACATCCCTTCACTGCAGCCAGAGTAGCTCGAAGTTTCATGAAGACAACACACAAGCTACACGGGATTCCATAGGTTATAGTAACTGATCAAGATAAAATATTTACTAGTTTATCTTGGAAAGAACTAATGAAAGCAGTAGGGACAAATTTGCTCTTCAGTACCGCATATCACTCTCAGACTGACGGACAAACACAAAAGCTCAATCAGTGTCTGGAAATGTACCTACGATACATGGCTAACCAACAACCAAAGACTTGGGCTAAATGGTTAGCTACGGCTGAATGGTGGTATAACATTTTGTACCATTCAAGCTTGAAGATGACACCTTTCCAAGCACTCTGCGGATAACCACCTCCACATTTCTTAAACTCTATAGAATTCAAATTTGCATTACCCTCCATAGAGATGGTCCTAACGGAGCGCGAAGAGGCCAACAGAACCATAAGACAACAGCTCTTACAGGCACAAGCCAAGATCAAGCAATATGCAGATAATCATCAAAGTAAGAGAAGTTTTGAAGTAGATGACTGGGTATTGCTCAAACTACAGCCTTTCAAACAAGGAACACTCAAGAAGAGACGAGACCCCACATTATCCATCCAATACTATTGCAAGTCTCTCAGAAAATTGGGAATGTAGCATACAAGCTCCTGTTACCCAAAGAATCAAGAATTCACCCAGTTTTTCATGTGTCCCAACTCAAAAAATACATTCTCGACACACAAGAAATCCAACAATACTTACTCCCACAGACCACGGAAGACTTCATCAGTATACAACCCCAACAAATCTTACAACATAGAACTATATTATGGGTTAATCAGCTCGTAGATCAAATCCTTATCCATTAGGAAGGAGCTTCAACCAAAGAATGTACATGGGAAGATTATGAGTATTTACAACACCAATTCCTGCATCTCAACCTTGAGGACAAGGTTACTATTCAAGGGGAGGGTATTGTCAAGGAACCCTTTAGGATTTATTACAGAAAGAATTGCCAAAAAGAAAATATGCACACAAAAGGGCATAACAGAAAAAATTAAGAACTGGAATTAGGGTTGACCAACCCTAACAAGACTCCACAGTTGACACCTCTGCTTTCCAAATTCATCCTGTATACGACGCCGATTATCATCATCATATTTCAACCGTGCAACTCCAGCAAATTTGATTCTACCTTGAATAATGAATTTATTTGATGTATTTAGGCCTATAAAAAGGGCCGCTTCCATCGATTGTAAACATATCATAAATCAATAAAGAAATCTACTATTTTCTCCCTTGTTCGTTCTTTTTCTTCTCTGTTTTCTTATTGTTCTTCTCCCTTAAACTTTCACAAGGTTAGAGTCAAGTCCAAGGCTTCCGACACTAGATTAGTAAATAGTATACAAGAGGTTGACTGAACTAAAACATTTCTCAACAAGAAGGCCTAACAAGAAAGATTCAATGTCTCAACAAATATTGTATGAGAAAAGAAAAATTGAATGTTTGACATACTCATGTTGATGCTGAATGAAAAGAACCTGAAATGGAAAAGTTTGTGGTGAGAAATGTTTATGAAATAGCTATTAATATATCTTTAGGTTATT